CTTCCTGTTGTTATATAACAATGTTATAGGGTAGTTCTATGCTGACCAATGTAACATTTGTAAACTTCTTTACATAATATTTTGTGTTTCAGTTAAAATCATTTAGCTTCAGTTAACATATACTGGTAACCCAGAAGTATGCCATAGGAAGTTTAGACGCTTCATTCTTAATTGCGTTTTAAAAGATGTGACTAATGTAACAATTTTACAACATCAAGAATTTATCTGTAACTTGGATATTTGTTTTCTATAAAAGTATGAATCAATTTTTCTCCATCTGCAATTGGCATTCAGAGCTAACGTTTCATGGGCAAGTGTCAAATGTATCGTAATGGTTATTGGAAACTGTGTTGAAAAGCCTTTCTGGCAAATTATGTGTGGACAATATAATGTGACCAATGTAACATGCGGGGGAAAACACCCAGAAATAAATGCCCCCAATGCAAGACCCTGTGCATGCATTCACAAGTTGCTGATCAGTATCAAGGCCATGTGGGAAGTTGCAGTGTTCATTACAATAATCTAATGCTTCTTCTTTTTTCATCCCAACATTGATCAATTGCGGGAAAGACAAATATCACAGAAGCCCCCATTTTAAAAAAAGATGATTTCATGCCAATGAATATCACTTTTTCTTTTCATTTCCCCAGTCTCAAACTCAACAATAACAAAGTTGCCAACTAACACCAGCACTTCGGTGTGGCTGCTTCTCCTTCTGCACTTTAATTCAGCCTTACCATGTTTCTCATTATTCTGTGTATTTCTGGTGTTTATTTTACAGTACGTTAACATTCATTTACATTTTGTGTTCAGGACTGCCTTCAGCTTTTTACAGGGTTGCACTGTTACCTGAGGCAAGGCAATAGAACTTCAGCTCCTGAGACTAATTTTTGTATCTCTAGATTAGGGGTGGGGAACCTCCAGCCCATGGGCCAATCCTGATGTCATACATGTAAAGGTGGGGCTTGACCAAAAGGCCAGGGTTTGCCCAGCCAGCTGGTTGGTAAGAGTGCTGCACAAAGCAGGGGCTTAGCACCAAACAGGATTATATTACTATTGTTGTTGTGATTACAAAGGGAGAATTATCCTGTTGAGTTCAGGAGCATCAGAGAACCTTCTGCAGGTTGTGTTCAAACTACCTAGTTGAAGTGTCCAGTGCCCTCAGTTCTCTGCTATATAAATAAAATGACTAGTATCCTAATAACTTTATTTTAATCTTGGACTATCTGATCATTCTTTCATGAATGCAAGATTATTGATTGCTAGTAGCCATGCTAACTAAATGAAAAGCCCAGCTCTAGAGGTAGTACGTCTTTGAATATGCATCGTGAGGAGAAAAACAATGGGGACAGCTATAATTATGAATTATAATTGTATTTCACCTTTTCTACAATGAGCTGAGGGTGGTAATTATGGATTTGGGGTGGGGTTATTCCTCTTTATCCTCTCACAATCCTTTTGCTTCAACACTCTGCATCTCATTGTTGGAAGCAGGATGGGAGACCAGATGGGTCTTTGGTCTGATCCATCAGGGCTGCTGTTAATTTTTCATGACGAAGAGAAACTAACACCAGCAGGTAAAAATATGGATTTTGGGTAAATCACACTGTTGTCATTAAAAACGAGCAAGTCAAAACCCTGCCCATCAAACCAAGACCGACTTCATAATTGGGTATCCTCAGCATCGTCAGAAATAAAGAGTGCTTTGGGAATAGGATGTAATTCAAAGTGAAGCCTTTGCAAGACATGACCTGGCATCTTGCCTTTTGAAAAGCTTTTGCAGGAATATGAGGTACCATCTCTTCCAGAAAACCAGATTTTATGTCACTTTTCATACTGGAAATAACTATGAGTCGGGATCAGATATATACAGTTTTGGATTCAGTTGCTTCTTCTTCTTTGGTGATCACTTGTAGCAGAGTAAGATTGTCTTCCATAAACACTGTTTTAACAATGAGTCCGTAAGTGACTGTGGAGGCCAATTCTGGACCCACATGTCCTTCCACAGTGGGGACATAGGTTTCCACACGGGAGTTGATCATGGTGTGGATTTGCCTCTTAGCACGTTTCTCCCTTGCGTTCTGAGTTCGAGTGTCCTTAAAGCCCATGACACCTTTGGTAGAGGCTGTTCTCCAACTGGAGTGCTCGCAGGCCTGTGTTTCCGTTGTCAGTGTTTATACTACATGTTTAAAGATTTGCCTTGAGACAGTCCTTAAACCTCTTTTGTTGACCACCAGCATTACACTTTCCATTTTTAAGTTTAGAATAGAGTAGTTGCTTTGGAAGACTATCATCAGGCATCCGCACAACATGACCAGTCCAACAAAGCTGATGTTGAAGAATCATTGCTTCAACACTGGTGATCTTTGCTTCTTCCAGTACACTGATAATAGTTCACCTGTCTTCCCAAGTGTTGTGTAAATTTTTTTGGAGACACCGTTGATGGAATCTTTCAAGGAGTTGAAGATGGCATTTATAAGTGGTCCATGTTTCACAAGCATACAGTAAGGTTGGTAGTACAATAGCTTTGTAAACAAGCATTTTGGTTTCCCTGCGAATGTCCCAGTCCTCAAACACTCTGCACTTCAATCGGGAGAAAGCCGCACTTGCAGAACTCAGGTGATGCTGGATTTCAGCATCAGTGTTAGCCCTTGTGGAAAGATAACTGCCTAGGTAGGAGAAGTGATTGACATTTTCCAACGTTACACCACTGAGTTGGATCTGTGACACTTCAGAGGGGTTATTTTGTACTTGTTGGTGCAGCACTTTGGTTTTTTGGATGCTGAGTGATAGGCCAAGCTTTTCGTAAGCTTTTGCAAAGATATTTAGGATGGTTTGGAGGTCATCCTCTGAGTGTGCACACACTATGTTGTCATCAGCATACTGAAGCTCTATGATGGAAGTTACAGTAACCTTACTCTTTGCTTTCAGCGTGCTCACATTCCATCTGTTCGATATATGATTTCTACTCCAGTGGGGAGTTTCCCTTCGACAAAGTGTAGGATCGTGGCAATGAAAATAATGAATAGATTTGGGGCAATAACACAACCCTGTTTAACACCAGATCCCACTGTGAATGGTTCACTTTGAGAGTGATTCAGTTGCACTTAGCAGTTGTCATGCCAAGTTGTATCTTGTATTTGGAGCAGAGTAAATAAGGTGACTCATTCAAAACAGTAATGCTTTGTTTTGTTTTGTTTTTACACCCCAAACACTTTTTATATTGGGGGGGGAATATATTCATGGTAGTGAAAAGTAACAGATAACTTGTGGGTTTTCTTGCCTCTTTTATCTTTGAAAATGTAAAATGTACAAATCAGTTAATTGATTAAATGTATTTATTTGGAAAAGCACATACAGTGGTGAAAGCCTTCAGACATCCATGGCATTTCTAATCAGAGATGGTACATCACCCTCTGTTTCTCTCCACCAGCCTGGTCACTCACCTGCAAGCAGTTCCCTCTTGCCTCTGGTTTGCCAGACTGGTGCTTACGCATGAAGCTGTGTTTGGGTTCCAGACAGATAGTAATTGTTTTGCAATGTGCTCAGCTTCCTATGTGTGTGAAGAGCACAAGCTGTTTTGTGCCCTGCCATCTGAATTATGGTCTCCTAAGATTTTGAGTTTATATCAGTGGTGGTATGCTGTGGTTGGGTGCCAAACTATGCGGTGATGTGGGGAGGAGCAGTGATGCAAAAGCAGCTATTCACCTGTCTGGCTGAAGTCAATAGAAATTCTTTGCAATTTGGGGGCTGGTGTTGGACCACTGGTGAATACAGCTGGTCTTACATTGTGCTACAAAGGTTGCACTCTTTCCCCCCATCCAAGTACTAACTGAACCCAATCTTGCTTGGTGCCCAAAATTGGGTGTGTTGTAAAGCTTGTATTCTTTTTCATTACTAGATGACTGGCTGGCTCTTGCAACTTAAACTTATGTTAAATTTTAGGCTATTCATCTGTTAAGCTGCTAGCAAGAAATACTACATGCTCCTGGCTGCTCTTGGCTTTTTTGGGAGGAAGGATGGGATAGCAATTTTTTTAATTAATAGTAATATTTGGAGTTTAATGATCCCATGGTTTGCACTTTGTATGCTGTGCTTTCCTTCAATGTACTAACTGTTGATTTTCCAGTTTACAACTTCCTGTAACTTAGTTCTTCAGGCTTTCTGGAGTTGAGTAGGGATTGAATAGTCTGCTTCAGATCTTTTCTTAGAACATTTTTGCACATTTGAATATGTATTAGACGTAAAGTCATTGGGATTACTAAGTGATGTAAGCAGCCTTCTTGGTAAGGAATTGTTTGCAAGCTTTTGTGAGTTGACGTCCCGAGGTTATAGCGGCCCTACAGACAGCTGGTAGCTTAACAAATCAGCTACTTTAGTTGATGTTGATCACAGCCTTTGATTTTGTAAACAGGGATCACTGAGGTATCTCTGGAGTAATATAATGAGGATGCTTGGCTTTAATGCCTGCAGACATCCTAAAATGAAATTATTATTAAAAAAAATATTTGGGTCAATTCTTCTTGTTTTTTAAATGTAACAATCTTAAATTTGTTAGACTTAGTAAGGCAGTGTCTTAGTTATGATGACTGATATTGCTCTCTCTTCATATGAAGTATATTAATTATAACCATCCATGGTTGGACACTTACTTATATACAACTTATTTGTAGAATAGAACTTTTTTAAAAATGAGTTTCTCTGAGAGATTAGGATATCATTGTCAAATAATTGCATTTCTCTTACACTTGCCATGATTTTCTCCTAGTTTTGGGAAGTGGTCAGGAAAATTTATTCCAGTTCATTGGTGTAATATGAGAATATATTTTCCCTATACAATAGAAGGAATTCTGCTCCTAAGAACCAAACCATCAGTTCCTCAAAGTCTATGTTCTAGTTTGATTTGGTCTTTATTTTGCACACTTCTAATACAGCTTCTGTTTTAGATAGAATTGATTTTGATTTAATACAATGGCTTTGCATTTTTAAATTTCTCACAGGTATTGTTTTTGCAATTCCTGACCTTCAGTACTTACCTCACATCTCTGAGAAGATCCCACAGCCAGGAGAAATATCTGTTGATGTTGGACTAACCTGGTAAGAAGTGCTTTAAAAGACTCTCTTATTTTATGAATGAATGTCCCCAAGTTAATGCCTAGAACCTTTGCATGGTGTGTGTATATTGAAAGAAAAACTGGTTTAATATTATATATTAACTGGTTTAGTATTATAAAATCTTCTTGCATATTGTCAAATTTGAGCTTCAACCCAAAATCCATTTTGACTCTTCCACTTCCGAAGACAAACTAAGTGGTGGACCACAGGTTAGATGGAAGGCTCATTTTCTATGACTCTGAACTTCTTACCCATAGGGTGGAGCCTTGAAGTGGCAGTGAGGCCAAAGAAGCATTAATGGGCTCAGGTGGCTGAAGGCCTGATGGAATTGTTTGTTTTGTGACTGGGTTCTCTCCATGGTCCTGAAATACCTGCCTCCACCTTCCCTTGTCTTCTGGAAACCCACTCCCGCCAGTCAGTTTTTCTGCCTGTTTCCACCCCCACCCCACCCCAACTGCTCAGCTGGTCAGCATCTCCTTGAGTTGCCCACAATCTGTGCTTTCCCACTGGGATGGGTTGTTCTCCATGCTTCACACATTAGTACTGTAATTCAAATAGGACCTCAGAGTAAACTTGGGCTATCACTATCATAGCTGGGGATGCTACTGAAATTGTGATCTCTGGACACTACGCTTAGAGTATACAAGGGACAACAATGATCCAGTGAAGGGTTTAGCCCCACTTATGACTCTCCTAGGTCTGTGTACAGCTATCATGATGCTGTTGGTGTGTGCCAGCATCTGAAAACTTTGTCAGGTTCACACCTGACTAGCAAGGGATCATATCCTCTCTGCTTCCCCTTTGCTAACCCATATGGCTTTGAATGGCAACACACACAGTCATGTGGGCCAACAAGTATTGTTCAGGCTAGAGTGCTCTTGGACATGCTAGCTTGAGTTTCTTAGTCACATAGAAGCTGTAGCTTCAATATATAAGAAAGACACCTTGGACCTTCCATGAGGTTTTGCTTGGATCTGGGTCCCACCACCAGTATTTTCCACAGAATCATCAGGGGGAGGGACAGCAGGAAGAGCCTAATCTATTCATACTGTGGCCTTCTCCAGGACCTGAGAAGGGAATCTGCTTTTATATGCAGAAGGACCTGGTTCAATTTCCAGCATCTCCAGGTAGGGCTAGGATAAATTCCAGCTTGAAACACTGGAGAGCTCCTGCCAGTCTGGGTAAACTATATTGAGCAAGATGGATTGATGATCTGAACTGGTACAAGGCAGCTTGCTTTGTCCCTAAGACATTGCTGTGCATGCTTAGATATTTCCGCACCAGAGGTGCTTATGGGCTGATAATTTTTTTCTCTCAATCCTAGTCAAGCCTTCTCCAAGGCTCAGGATAAGCCTCTCAGTTATATGCCAAGATGCCTAGGAATGCCTCAAGGCCTCTCTGACAGGGCACCCTAATGACACCCTCAGTTTGCCAGGGGCCAATTCGTGTCTAATTCAGATTCTGCAATGGTGTCTGTAGTAATTATGAGGTGGAACTCGAATTCATTTTAGAATCACCTATGTTAATTCAGAAAGAACCAGCAGGTTTTGCCCATATTAGTAAAGCTACTCAAGGTACATTTTGGTAGAAGAGTAGGATGAAAATACATGCATTATCTTTTTTATAGTTAATATTCATATTGGGGTTCTTGAAGCACTGGCTTAAGTTTTTAAACTTACTTTGGAATAATTACAGAATGTGGGCAAATCATGCCCTAGCTGAGGTTTGTAACCCAGCAGGAACATGTAATAATCTGTAAACAAGGCTGATGTGGATTATATATATGTGGATTAGCCACATACCTCATAATATGCCCACTCTTAGTATTAATAATAATGATTTATTTTTTAAAAAAAGAAATTTTACCTGGAAAAGGCCTCTGTTGCATACACAATTAAGTACTTGGTGCTATTGTGTGGTTTTCTTTTCTTGCACAAAGAAAATGGGACGATTGAGCCAGATCCCATAAAACAAGCATATAATGTTGGGGTTCCCGGCAGGTCCATATTTGATCCGGCTGAGGTGCTGAAATGTATCTACATAAAATTATCTTTACTTGTAATTAGCAAAATCTACCTTTCGTTTTGACCATATTTCTTAGAGATCATCCCATAAACCATTTAAACTGATAGCGATATTAGATGCCAAGAAATTAATTTCACACAGTATACTTTTTTTTAAAAAAAATGTGACTTTATCTTGTTTCAAGAAGTGCTTACTTTTTGATTTTTGTGGATATTACCAAGAGAGGATTACTTTTATTTTGGTTTCCCCCTTTTTCTTTCTCCCCACAACAGTTATATTAGAAATTTGCTGTTTTATTCTTACCTTCTTAGTAAAAATCCTTTTATCACACAATGGGTAATTTATATCCATTACCAACCCTTTCAATCCTTTTCAGTGGGGCTGTCACTGCCTTTGGCATAGTAATGATTAATGTGATCTAATAATAGTGTGCCATTATATTACCTTAGTAAAACATGTACCAACAGCCTATTCAGATCTACCAAATTCATAGCTTCCTATAATATTTTTGTTGAAAGACAGGATTACTATTTTTCAAAGCTGAATTTTCCCCCCGTTAACATATTTAATGAAATTCACAATTCTTTGCCATAGCAATCTTTTTTTTTTTTTTGTATGCATTTTGCCTCAGTGGGGGAAGGTTGTACCTTTGTGGATTATGATTTGTTAGGTGAATCCTTTGACACACAGGGAAAAATACTGGAGGTGGTATATCTTCTTCATTAAAGATCCCCCCCCTCTTTTTTCTAAAAAAACAAACAAAAACACACACATTTGCTTAAGATAATTTAACTAGATTTTCAAAGGATAAATGTTGATAGCTGAAATGCTACCTTTATTTCTCTTTAGGTTTGAATGGGTAATTAAAAACAAGTTTCAAAATGTAAGGGATATTCTGGACTTCAGATGCCTGTCTGGGAAGTTCTTTTGACAGAGAAGTATTTTAAAGCTAAAAACAAACAAACAAACAAACAAACAAACACACAACACATCTTAATATATGTGTAACAAATGAAACTGTTATCATACACAGGTTCATGCTGTGATAGGCAAGATGTTCTTATGGATGTTGTGACTCACATGTATGTATTCAGATGAGCACTCATGTGCACACACCAAGAAACAATGAGCTGGTTCACACATAAGGGTAACCCATTGTCTGAAACAAGGAATAGTTTACTGCTAATGAGCAGCAGAGCGGGCACAATTGAGTGTGTGCACCAGACTGCTCCTCTTTTCTGGTAAGACAAGAATCCCCCACTCCCAGAATATGGCTTACTGTTATGTGCAAACAAAGCCACTGATTTCGAGAGTTTTCATTTATTGTATTTAGCAGTATTTAGATACCGCTTGACTGCAGTAAAACCTTTAAGTGGTTTACAGAAAATAAAAACACAAATAAAATACAATTTAAAAACAGGTAGTTAACTATGTTCAAATCTCTTCATAACCACATGTTTATCGGGTGAGTGAGAATGTTTCTCTCAGACAGAGATTTCCATATAGAATATAAGAGTGTTGGGACACAGGTTCTAGGTCATGGCCAACAACCATATTGACCTATCTGTAGGCTATTGTGAAAATCACAGAGGGAAAAATGTAAAGTACTTGGCATGTTGGAGAACTATTAATACTGCATGTTGACAAAATAGCTCCTTATCTGTGTAAACTTCAGGGTGATATTTAATGGTATTGAAGTGTGGATTAAAAGAAAGAATCCCCATGGGACCTCCATAAAGGCAGATAAAATTCATGTAGAATGAACGTACATTTTACCTGCTGTCTGCCCCAGTTCCCTTTCACACCAGGGTTGGAAACATCCCCATACTTAACGCCTACTCATCAACACAACCTTCCTACTTCTGAATTCCTGTTTTGGATTCCGTACCTTCCAGACCCTCATCTACTTAAATGGCTTAGGCCCCCAGATATCTGAAAAGCTGCCTCCTTCCCTGCAGACCCTCTTGGGTACTGAGATCAGCAGAGATGGCCCTCTTGGTAGTTCCTCCACCCTCAGAGACTGGGCTGTGTGGTGGTCCAGGATACTACCTTCTCTGTGGTGGCCCCTAAGCTGTGGAACTGCCTCTCCACAGAGGTGCATCTGGCACCTTCATTACACAGCTTCTGGAGAATGCTGAAGATGCACCTCTTTGCCCTAGCTTTTGATACCTGAGGTGTATATTTGTAGACCCATTGTTATTTTGTGATTGTAGGCCGTTTTTAATATTGTATTTTGATGTTGTAATCTGCCCTGAGACCTCAGGGTGAAGGGCGGAGGAATGATGATAGTAATACTACTATTACAACTCCTCATCACTTCACTCTGCTTTGACAGAAGACAGAAGCAGCACAAACACCCTCCCTGGATTACGGCGAGTCTTCTAAAGAGGTGCCTTGGGAACTACATTGACATTTGCATTTTTCGATTCTTCGACCCACTAGGCACTTTTTATTTACTGTAGGTGGTATTGCCTTTTTTACATTACTTCCTTAAGGCAACACATGGTTAGCTGAGAAAATAATATGAAGAACCTCTTTGCTGCAAAATGATATATCAAACAAAAGGGAAATGTTGCACACCTACTTGTGTGCACTGTTGTGTAAGAATCATAGAGAGAAGCTTGAGCTAATCATTCCCAACATGACATGTAATGGAACAATTACTGTAATTGAGAGATTTTTCAAACGAAGCCCTCAAATATAGCGTAGGATGCTGCGTATCACTGGGGTGGCATATATCTTCCTTTTCATCTCTTTCTACAGTTCCTTGAGGTCCATTTTGAGTTTTGCTTGGTAATTTCCATGTTTGAGGCCTGCCCTAAATTCTATCTTTGGTAATTATTTTCTTTACTATTTCCTGTTTGCAAGAGCTGTCTACCACACCAGCCTTTTCTACCCTACCCATTTAAAATCAAGGGAGGGTTTTCTAGCCCCATACCTTGCATCTGGTGTTAGAG